TGCTGCTTGGCCTGCTGTGTTCATCCAGCCCTGCACCTTGTTGTCTCTAAAAAATACCAATTCTGTTTCAACAAGCTTCTTTATTCACCGATATTACCTGGAACCATGGCTTTTATTTCCCTTCAAAATATTGAGCAGATGATCGGTGCTAGGTCCACTGCTTTTCATCATTTATATAAGTGATTTGGATGTGGATATAGGAGGTATGGTTAGTAAGTTTGCAGATGACACCAAAATTGGACGTGTAGTGGACAGTGAAGAAGGTTACCTCAGAGTGCAATAGGACCTTGATCAGATGGGCCAATGGGCCAAGGATTGGCAGATGGAGTTTCATTTAGATAAATGTGAGGTGCTGCATTTTGGAAAGGCAAATCAGGGCAGGATGTTACAATTAATAGCACGGTCCTGTGGAGTGTTGCTGAATAAAGAGGCCTTAGAGTGCAGATTCAGTGTTCCTTGAAAGTAAAGCCCCAGGCAGATAGGATAGTGAGGAAGGCAGTTAGTATGCTTACGTTTATTGGTCAGTGAATTGGGTATGGCAGTTGGGAGGTCATGATCAGGATATATAGGACATTGGTTAGGCCACTTTTCAAATCCTGTGTTCAGTTCTGGTCTCCCTGCTATCGGAAGGATGTTGTGAAACTTGAAAGGATTCAAGGATGTTGCCAAGGTTGGAGGATTTGAACTAAAGGGAGAGGCTTCAATAGGCTGGGGCTATTTTCTCTGGAGTGTCGGAGTCTGAGGGATGACCTTATAGAGGTTTTATAAAATCATGAGGGGCATAGATCGAGTGAATAGCCAGATCTTTTCTGCAGGGTGCAGAGTCCAAAAGTAGAGGGCACACGTTTAAGGTGAGAGAGGAAAGCTTTAAAAGGGACCTAAGGGGCAACATTTTCCTGCACAGGGTGGTGCGTGTATGGAATGAGCTGCCAGAGGAAGTGTGAAAGCTGGTACAATTACAACATTTTAAAAGGCACCTGGATGGATACATGAATAGGAAGGATTCAGATAGATATGGGCAAGATGCTGCCAAATGGGACTAGTTTTATACAGGCATGGACAAGTTGGACTGAAGGGCCTGTTTCCAGTTGTATGGCTCTGACTCTAAGACTGTTCAAATTTTATTGTGTACCTTGAAAAGAGGCACATTTTCATAAATAAGCACTTTTAGAGTAGGGGTGTTTTTTTTGTCCTGGATAATGTTTATCCTTCAACTAACACCACTACAACAGATTTATCTGATGATGATCACAGGATGATTTGTAGGACATTGCGGTATTGAATGAGCTGCTTTGTTCCCTGTATGAGGACAGTAGCTATACTTCAAAAGGAATTCATTGGCTTTAAATGCTTTCGGACATTTTAAAGTGGGAAGGTTGATTTAATCTCAGTGACATTGCCCATCATTACATCACTGCAGCTCATCTGCAGGAACGATGCCTTTCTTCCCTGTGGACTTACAACAGTTCCCTTCTCTCTTTCACCTTCATAAACCTGAGTTCATCCAAAACCATGTTGACTGTATCCTGAGTTACTCTAATGTCTCATTCATCTGCGATTCCCGTGCCTGCAGACCTCTCAGGCTCCAATTTGGCAATACCTAAATTTTAAGATTCAAGTTTGTTTTAAGTCCCTGAATGGTTTTACCACACCCAATCTCTCTAATCTCCTCTTTTACAATCCCTGACATCTTTGCACGCCTCCAGTTCTGGCATCTTGCACATCCCTTATTTTAATGGTTCAACCATAGATGCTAGTACTTTCTACTGCCTAGGTCCTAACATCTGCAATGTCATTCATAGACTTCTCTTTTTCTTTCTCCTTTCTTTAAGATGTCCCTCTGAATCTACTTCTTAAAAAGCCTGTTGGTACTTGCTGTAAGCTTCTCCTCTGGGTTGGTTTCAAAGTTTGGTAACTCTTCTATGTGTTGAGAAATGTTAAAGGAACAATATAAATATCCTGGTGTTTCATTCTCCTTATTCATTCTTTCACATTTTGAGTGTGGAGGGAAGAAATGATGTGATGAGAACTGTAACTTACTGAAAAGTATTAAAACCCACCTAAAAACTGGCATGTTCTGAATGATTTTGTCCAAACAAATAATAAACTGTTGACTATCATGAGGAAGGCATTGTCATTTTTTTTAGGTTTTTTTCCTCACTTCCTACCATGGACCCAACAGTGGGATTAAAATGAGTAGTCAGAAATCTTGTGTGCTTGTGTTCTTCCAAGATCTTACAACCTATTGCTACACCCTTTCTCCTCCTCCTCCTCTCCACTGCTATTGTGAACCAAAGGCTGAAAAAAGTTATCACCCCCTGCATTCATTTTTTTTTGTTGTTTGAGTGGCTGTTGTGATATGTTTAATTTTCTCAGTTCAGATATGGTTAGATGTACTGTTTACTTCATGCACCTTTTGTGGACCAACTGTATTCAACCTTTTATCTTAGCACTTTGAATTGCTAGCCTAAATATTTCCAATATTCGAAGTGTTTCCTGGCATGTGAGAGTTGAAATGTACAAACGTGTAAGGGAAGCATCAACCTTTTACTTGTGTAAGCATCTCTATCGTAATAAGATATTGCAAGGTGTTTCACAGAAGCGTTATAAAGCCCAGAAAAGGCAAGCCAAGAGATTTTAGGAAAGATGTTCATAAGTTTGATCAGAGGTAGATCTTCAGGGAGTGTCTTAAAGGAAGAAAGCGAGGTGGTTTGAATGAATTTCCAAGTTCAGAACCTTGACAGCTAAAGGTGTGGTAATTCAAGTTAAGGATGGTCATGAAGAACTGGATATGAACATTATGGAGCTAAGAGGGGTGAGGCCCCAGATGGATTTCAAATTGAGGATGAAAAATTTAAAATTGACTTTCAGTGATGAAACATCTCAAAGTCAACCAGTGAGCACAGAGCTGGCTCATGAATAGGAATTAATGCAAGTTCAAACATGAGTGGCAGTACTTTAGATGACCTCTGGTTTCAAGTGGAGAGGGGGAACAGAATATGGAACACCAGCTAAGAGTGTATTGGAATGGTCAAGCTGAGAAGTAAGAAAGATTTGGGAAGGGGTTCCAGAAGCAGATGAGGTAAGGCATGGACAAGGTCCAGTGATGCTAAAGAAGTGACAGTAGGTTGTCCTACTAATGGTGCGAATGTCTAACCAGAATTTTACCTGGGGTTCAAACATGAAATTGAGGTTGTAATTATTCTAGTTCAGCCTCATCTTTGCCAGGGTAAGGGATGGAGTCAGTGGCTAGCTTGTGAAATTTCTGCTGGAGACTGCAGCCAAATTCTTCATTCTTCCCAACTTCCCAATATTTGGTTGAATAGAAAGTTCCTCCAATCATTACCGGCTGCTAAGTAATGAATCTGACAGTTTACAGAGTGAACAGGTTGAGAGAGGTAATGTGAACCAGATGATGTTAGCTTGGATGTGGCAAATGACACTCTGATATTACTGAGGGACAGCATGTAGACAAAAGGATCCAGTGTGATGAGGATTGATCCTAACATTAGAGATTATGATGTGTGAATGTGAAGGTAAGCCATTGAATGATACTGATCTTGAATAGGCAAGTGCAGTCCCACACAGTTGGACGATTGTGGAGAGCTATTGGAGAGGAAGGATGTGGTCAGTTGTGTTGAAAGTTGCAGACAACATGAGATTGATCAGACCATGATCAAATTAATGCAGGATTTTGTTTCTGACTTTGAAAGCAGTTTTAGTAGTTTGGCAGGGTGGTAAAGTAAAAGTTGGAAAAATCCAAGAGGTGACCACACATGAAAGAGGAAAAGGAGGTAGAAAATAGGATGATAGTTTGCAACACGGGTGGGGTCAGAAGTTGGTCCTTTTTAATGAAAGGGTAATGAAAGCAGATTTAACATGGGGACCTGCGGCAGTACCAGAAGAAAGAGAACCTGGAGATAACCATCACCGGAGCCAAAAAGGGAAAAAAAAAGAATTGGGTGGTCAACACTTTGGCAATAGGCTCTGTGGTGGTCTTATGGGCAAGCAGAGTTCAGAGTGGGCTTTGTGGGTGGAGGTAGTGGAGAGGTATGGAGTAGTGGGTTAGGTAGCAAAAAGCAGCAGATAGGATGATCTCAATCTGTGTGATCAACACACCCATGGACTCTTTGCAGTTGCACTTATTGGAGATGAGGATGGATTAGACTGGAGAAAGATGATTTGCTGTTGAGAAAAGAAACAAGATTTATCTTTATACTTCAGATGATCCTGAATTAATGAGCTGTTTCAGTGGGGTGCGAATGTCTAACTTGATCTGGTAATGAATGCTATACCAGTTGTCCACCCTATCTGCATCCATGCCTTTAAGGAGCACAGCTGAGGGCCATACGTAGACAGCTATCAGAGTGAGAGAGAGAGAGAGAGAGAGAGAATGTAACGATTTCACTAAGAATTGGATCACCAGATTTGAGAGCAAAAGTATATTAGATGCAGCAAAGTTTTTGAGACTGAAGCAAGACAGTTGCATTTCTGAAAATAATTTTTGTGGAGTAGATTCAATGCCATAGACTGGAGTGGGTGGATGAGATTGTATCTACGTTTGATATGATGGCAGATTGAGGGAGTGGTGAATATGGGCTGTGGTATTTTACATGGAGGGAGAAGTTAAAAAGAGGGCAATGAACTTGCAAGAAAGCATGCAGGGAGGTTGAAATTATTCAGGCTGAGAAATCAGAACAGGATGAAGGAGGGAAGCAGTGAAAATATCTTGGTGAGAAAGCTGTAATGGTACATGGGTGCTCATAGGAGGAGAAAGTGCCAAACTTTAAGGGAACTGATCAAAGTATGATCTGAAAATGAGGGCAAAGGAGAGAAATGAGCAGAGGTGTGAAGGCAGGAGTGACAAATCTCGGAAGGTAAAGATACAATAATTTTTAAAAAATAGATACGTACATTAGCACAATCAACTGAGTTTTGATAAATGTATTTATGTAATGCACACTTTCTTTTCTTTGAAGTAAAATGGACTCACTTAAAAGACAACATAACTGGATCCAAATGATGACAGATAGCTGTGCGAACAATCTTCATCGGGCAGAGATACTGCTGCAAGAGGTAAATTCTTGCTCTGATCAAAAATTGTGATTATTAATTTTTAAGAAGACCTTTCATTGCACATTGCAATGAAATGTCTTTGCACACTCAATCTAACAAAAGTCAAAAAATATTTGTAAATGATCTTGTGTTTCACCCTGGGCTTTTCTGTGTTCTTAAAACTTTCCAGAGTTATTTTTCTAGAGTTTCTTCCAATAACTATGTTATGTTTTCTTTTCAACCTCCATAAAGTCTTCCTTGTTCTTTCATTAGACCTACAATGATTCAGCCAATGATCAACTTTACAGTTGTTACTATATTATTTAGAGATAGAGCAGTCAAAAATATTCTAAGGTGCCAGGACAAAATAGCAGTACAGATTATGTCAGCTTTTGTACACCACACCAAATGTTGGGTTATATTAGCTTCAGTAGAAATAAATAGAAATATCATGTATTGCATATATTTTGCAATGGTCATTGAGATGTGCAACAAAGTACCAAGCACCAAAACAAATATCTATCCCCCAGTTTATAAAAAAAATGAAAATGGTTGATTCTTATTGAGGTTGGCATAATATAATTAAAAACATCCGTGAAGTGGAGAACTTGAGTTTGGTCTTCTTGTTAACATTTCTGTCTGAGCTTCCATCTGTCTCTAAAGCCAATGGTATTATTAAATGTGCTGCAAATCAAACACTTGTCAACCTGCAATTCTGCAAGGAATGCTTGTGTTTTAAACATGTCTCATGCTTTTTGAGACTGCTTTTCAAATAAAGGGGATGGCCTTGGGTTGAAAAGTAACAGGTAATATTTCCAAAAAGTAGCATTGGCTGTGTTCAACCTTAAACTACAGAGAGTCTGTCCTTACCAAGCCTTGTATTGTTATCATGGCAATTTCATTGACCATAAGCTTAACCAGACTAACCATATCTACAGGGTCCAGTACAGTATGGCAGAAGCTGGGTATTCAGCTCACCTCTAGACTCCATGAAGCCTTTCTGCTGTGTTTTGTTTCATATTTGTTCTTGAGATGTGGGTGTCACTAGTAAGGTCAGAACTTTTTTTTGCCAATCCCTAATTGTTGATATTAAGGAAAAACTGAACTAGACCAGCCATATAAATACAAGATCCTGTCAGAGGCTAGGAATTCTGAGGTAAATAACTCACCACATGACTCCTCAAAGCCTGTCTGACATCTGCAAAACACAAGCCTGGAATGTGGTAGAATACTCTGTGCTTGCCAGGCTGGATACAGATCTTAAAAACATGGTGTCACCTATGTGATGCACTGCCTCAACTTATCCAGCATCTATCAAACACACAACTTACACTGGGACAGCAGATACATGGGAACACCACAACCTCCCAGTTCCCCTCCAAGCCACAAACCATCTTGATTTGGAACTATGTCAGTGATCCTTCACTGTGTCACTGGATCATAAACCTCCCTTCCTAACAGCACTGATGTACCAATTCCTAAGGACTGCAGCAATTGGGGATGGGCAATAAGTGCTGGCTTAGCCAGTGTCATTCATGTCTCATCAGCAAGTAGAATCTGTGCCTGAGAAGGTGTTGGTGATAGTCTACAATCTTGAGACACTGCACTCAGTGTGTGAAGCTTAAATCAGAAATGAGATAGAACATTCATTTATGACCTGGATAGGTAAACCAAAGTAGTGCATATGAAAGTTTTATAGTAACTAGGACAAAAGAGGTATGCTTTATTGGGTATTTTTGTGATTTGTATTATCTCCAGGATGCATATCTGTCACTTGCCGAATGTGTAACAACAGCACGTCCTGCCTGTGATCTCTACCACAAAAAATATTTTTGTGACATCACTGATCCCTCTAAGTTGTGCATACATTATTTTGCCTTCTTCCTTGTTGGGCTAAAATCTTTTGATTTCTTAGTTAACATTAGTTTGGGTCTTTTTCCAGACGCCAGACGGTAGGGTGCCGCAAGGATCATTTGTGCCCAGCTATTCACAATATTTGTAAATGACCTAGATGAGTGAATCAAATACAACATTTTGAAATATTTTGATGATACAACTGGATGGGATTGTGAGTTGCGAGGAGAATACAAGAAGACTTCAAGGTGATTTAAACAAGTTATGTGACTGGGAAGGACATGGCTCATGTGGTACAATGTGGCTAAACGCAAAGTCATGCGCTTTGGTGTGAAAAAGAGAAAGGAACAGTATTATTTGAATGGTGATACATTAGAAAATGTGGATGTATTAAAGGATCTGGATGTTACTGTACATCAGTCAATGAAAGTAGACAATCAGGAACAATTAAGAAGGCAAATGTATATTGTCCTTCATTGCAAGACAATTTGTGTTCAAAAGTAAGGATGTCGTATTGCAGTTAAACAGGGTCATGCTGAGACCACAGGTAGGGAATTGTGTGCTGTTTTGGTCCCACTACTTAAGAAAGGATATACGACCATATAGGGAACTTCATGAGGCTAATATCAGAAATGGCAGGACTGCCCTATGAGGAGAGATCAGTTCAACAGGGCGTGTGTTCACTAGAACTTAGAAGGATGAGAGGTAATCTGATTGAAACAAAATTGTAACAGGGCTGGGGCTGGACAGGTCAGATGTAGGAAGAATGCTTTCCATGATTGGCCAGTCCAGAATCAGGGGACACGGTCTACCCAGTAACCTAGGACTATTTAGCACTGAGATAAGGAAACATTTTTTCGCAGAGTAGTGAACCTGTGGAATTATTTGTCACAAAAGGATGTGGAGGCTGTGTCACTAAATATATTCAAGAAAGAGATGATTGGTTTTTTTTGTAGGTTTTAAAGGCATTAAACAATATGGGGAGAAAGTGGGAATATGGTATCAAGATAGAGGATGAACCATGATCATATTGAATGATGGAACATGATTAAAGGGCCTTCTGCTCCTAGTTTCTATATTTCTATTTATTCTATTGATTAAAGTGCATGCAGCCACCTAGAGGAAAACTCAGTACTGTAAGAAGATGATCAATGTCCTTCTGCACTCAGCCTAGGTAAGTTCCACCATCTTCTCTCGAAAACCTCTCACTCACTGTATGCTGCTGTAGCCATCTCCGCTAAGGCTCATGCTCCACTACTCTCAATATTGCCTGCAACTTTCCCACTTGGTCTCACTCACCCAACACCCCCAAAACAACAAACCCTGCATGTCCTCTGCATTGCATACTCATTCATTTAGGACACCTCACCACCTGCACCAAAATTAACAGCTGTGCCACCCACTTTCAACCTCTGCCTGGCTCTGATTATTCTGATGGTGCACTGCCGATCATTCAGCTCCTCACCTCTTTTATATGAGGTATTTTGACTCTGATCAATTCAGGAAAGCCTGGACTGTGTCGGAATCTGCCTGGAGCTGATGAGCAAAGGCAATGCTCCTTGACTTAACCAAGGCCTGCTGGCAACCATGATATGCTTCGTACCTTTGTGCCTGTGCTAAATGGCAAAACAAGACTGTAGTAATATGAGCCTGGTGTCTCTGGCTGAACAGGTAAAATGCAAAGAGGCAAGGCAAGCAAGGAAATGCAAGGCAAGGAAAGGATGTTGTGGGCACCCCAGAGATGCGACCTGGTACAGACCATGAGCTGGGTGGGTGTTCCTGAGCACAGAGTGCCGTTTTTGCAGCATTATAAATGATAACTTGCCATTGCAGCATTAAAGTGCAGAAGCATCCTGTAAGTGGAATGGAGATGTACATGAGCAATATTCCCCCTCTTTCCACTATGTGGACCTCTGAGACCTATGATTGGCTGTGCCTTCTGGAAGAAGAGACAACTGGATCAGGAAGCAAAGTGGAGTGTATGGAATTTTCCAGCTGTGCAGCTTAGAAGGTGCATTAGTCGTGAGGGCTTTCAGAGGTTGCCAAGTGTCCAATGTTCATGGCCATGGAGCATGGTGCATGTAGCCTGTGCCCGTGGAGTATACCCTTAGATTTTAGCACCCAGCATCCAACATGATGGCGATTTGGAGCAAGCAGAGAGCTGAATCCTTCAGGTGCTCTCTCTGATCTCGACTTATTTGGAAACTTCGGTAGGATGGGAGGTTGAATATTAATGAGTGGTGTCTGGCTCGAACAAGCATTAATCCCTGTCAATTAGCATCTCTTCACATTCCTTATGGAAAGCATAAACAATAGACTGTGATGATCTCGGCATTGAAATGGGCCTTGCTGCAGTTGTTGGTCAATTCTGCAATGTATCTTGCCATAGCCCATGTCACTGAGACCTCTGTAAGGTTCTGCCTATTGTGTTTGGGTAAAGCTGAGCAATAAAAATATCTGTAGCCTGATTTATGGAAAGCCTATTTGTGTCCTGGAAAAGAAATTTCTACTTCAGTGCAACATCAAATTTTCTGCTGTGTGGAATGGTGTCTCACTGTGTAAGATAGTCATATAACATGGAAATTGACGCTTTGGTCCAACTATTCCACGTTGACCATGTTCCCAAACCAAACTAGTTCCACTTGGCTGCATTTGACCCATATCCCTCCAAACCCTTCCTTTTCATGTACTGATCCGAATGTCTTTCAAATGTTGTAACTGTACACTTCCTCTGGCAGGTCATTCCACATATGCTGCTGAGTTAGTGGGTGTATCCTTGAGCCTCCAACAGGTAAGTAAATGGGAATGAAATGCTCAGGAGGATGAAGATCAGATGAGAAACCCCTAGTGGCTGGGTTATTGGGGCTATGTGACAGCAGTACCTGCACAGAACCCTCTCCATGGACCATGACTTTGATTTTGCACACCCATTTCTGTCACTCGCTGCTGCAAAGTGTGTGTGTGTGTGTGTGTGTGTGTTGTGGGGTGGGGGTTGGGGGGGAGGTGTTATGTGGCAAACACTGTCATTAAGCTGGTGTCCACCCTTTATGCTGAGATTCCACCAAACCACCAGAAAAACATTGGTAGTTTTGTAAATTGGCCCCTAATAGGCCTTTAAATGTGAAAATTCACAGCCTGCTTTTTTCAAACAGACAGATTTTCACATT